CACGCCCCCCTTCTTTGTGTCTATAATAATTTATACCCCCCACCCAGCCACACAAATACATATACTGATACATGCAGGGGCGTGGCTTCACTAGAATCAGTTTCAGATTCTTTGTTTTTCATCTGAGGTGGGTTTTTTTCTATTTTGTTGTTGTTGTTGTTGTTTTGCACGAATGAGCCAATGCTCCATTGGAATACGAAGAACAGCAAAACTGTGTTTGTGGTCACTGCTTACAATGAAATGTGCACACTGCACCATCGCAAACGGAGCCACATATAGATGGCAACAACTTTGTATAATGCTGTGCAAGCTTAACACAAATCCATCAACATACACAGTGCCACGTAGCGTCAAACACACAGTGCCGTCTGAGGACCAGATCTGTTTGGCGGAATTAGCTTGGCTAGTTATTCATTGCTGTGGGTAAAATGTGCACAAGAAGGTTTTTTTTCCCTAAAGCTTCTCACGCCTCCACCCTCTGAATACATTCCACAACCCCCCAGAGGGCCCCATCCCCCTGTTTGAGAACCTCTAGACTAGGGGATCCAATGGCACCTTCTGGCCTTAATTTCTATGAATCTATGCATCATTGTCTTGAGTGGATGGTTATCTTAGGCTAGGTCTACACTAGCAGGGGGGGGTCGACCTATGATACGCAACTTCAGCTACGAGAATAGCGTAGCTGAAGTCGGCGTATCTTAGGTCGACTTACCTGGCCATGAGGACGGCTGCGAGTCGACCGCTGCTGCTCCCCCATCGACTCCGTTTCTGCCTCTCGCCGCGGTAGAGTTCCGGAGTCGATGGCAGAGTGATCGGGGATCGATTTTATCACGTCTACATTAGATGCCGTAAATCGATCCCTGATAGATCGATCACTACCCGCCAATCCGGCGGGTAGTGTAGATGTACCCTTAGATGCAACTTGAACAAGTTGCTCCTCTGAATGCTGATAGGCACTCAACAAGGATAGATGCTGCCCATGAAGAATCAGGAGTCTCACAATAAAACCGTGGTCTCTTTACCCTCTAAACCAGGTTCTTTCTTGTGCTGGAGGGAATCTCACAATTGTCCCACTCTTTGAGCTGGTAACAACACCCCATCCATGCAAACCGCTTATCACCAAACAGGTCAGACTGGACACCTCAGTCTCTTCCCTTCAGGTCCTTGTGACCATTAGAGAAAATGGGTTTTAAAATACCAGGCAGCCATTACACGTCTACACTCCTCTATCTCATGTATCACTACAAGCTAAGTTAGACAGGCTTTGCTCTGGAGATAAAGAAACAGAACTGGCCCAACTTACATTCTTTCAGGAGCTCTTCGGACCCAGCCTAGTTTCCCTCTGTCTTTGAGAGCATCTTCCCGTCTGTATGCTCCTGTAGCAAGGAGGCGTGCCTCCCTCTCAGAGTGATAAGGAGGGACCACAATACGCCCACTGGTGGGAAGAACCAGTGGAGCCACATCCACCCTGCTGGAAGCAGAAGGGCAGGACAGGAAGGGGAAATGCGAAAGTTGAGCCACACAGTTCAGTTGTGCTGTAGCCACCACAGGAGACAGATGCATCCCATGTGTTGCCGGAGCCTGCAGAGGAGCTGCCGGGGCTGCCTCCTTAGGCCTGAGTGGATCTCTGGGCTTCCAGCTAACCGAGTCGCCGAGGGGCTGTTGGGGCTGCCTCCTGAGGACTGGCCAGCGTCCCCTGAGATGACGGGCACAGGTACACCCAAGGGAGAGAGTAGGAAGCAGCCCAGGGGAACCTGGCAACGGTCTGGTTGGTAAGTGGCCTGATACAAGGTCAGCACGGTGCGGGTGGATCCTTGCGGACCCAGTGGTGGGCCATTTTAAGGACCCTTGGCTGGGACATGGAGGAGTTGGGTGGGCCTGTGTCCACCCTGCCCATGGCAGTACTCCCCTTTCTTAGGCCAGGAGGCCTGTGCACCTTGAGCCCGATTCCTGTATTCTTGAGCCCCTAGACATCATTGGTGCTCACCCTTCCCTGGGCCACTAGACTGCCTAGCCTCTCTACCTTAATTGCAGGCCAGAGCCTACCCATTGCTTTTCTGCCCTGCCCTTACTGGGCCTGGGCCTCTTAGACTGCTTAGCAGCTCTGCCTTGTTGCAGGACAGAGCCCATTCATTGGTTACTGCCCCACTTGGGCTGAGGGCCTGGGTCTCAAGGACTAGTACATCGCTCCGTCCGGCTTGCAGGTCAGAGCCTACCAACTGTTGGCTGCCGTACTGTTCTGCCCGGCCAGAGGACCAGAACACTAGGTGTAGCTCCAACACTCCCCACAGAAATCCACTACCTACCCCTCACTATCACCCCCGAGCACCCTCACATCTGCCACAGACACCAAGGTGCTGGAGTCACAGGGCTTGCCAGAAGCCAGCTGTCACAGGAGGCTGTGGTAAATGGCCTTTTATAGACTAATGTCTGAAGTGTTGCTTTTCTGCAGAACCCTGACACAGCCCTGACCTTAGGTCTCAGAGAATTTATGCTTCCGCCACCGCTGTGATGCAGGGCAGGGTTATTATCCACCTGTGCAGAGGGTTGGAGACACCCAATGGCTTGGCCATAGTCACACATGGCAAGGGAATCAAGTCAGACCACAGGACCAGCCTTCCAGCCATCTGAGTGGTGACAGGCCCGGTTGCATTCTCTGCTGTACCAGCAGAGCTCCCTTCTGCTCTGCAGAGAGCGGGGATGGCCAAGAGCCAGTTACAGTGCTTTGTTCTCCCCCTGCCTCAGCGGAGTTTAGAGCAGCCTGGGGGCTGGGCTGACATCTGCCCATTGGTAACAGCTTCCAAGAGCACAGCCCATTCTGGCCACCTTCCTGTGGATGGGAGCAAATGCAGAGTGCCCCCTTGGGGTCCGAATTGGCCCTGCAGGCTCCCTGCCCTTCCTTCTAAGCTCCTTGCAATGACTTACTCTCAGCCTGGATTACTTGAAACAAGAGCCCCCTTTGTGTGCTCGCATACATTTGGTCTTCTCCAAAAAATAAGGTCTCCTACCCTCCAGCCCCATCCTCCTCCTTTACTCAGGAGCCCCCCAGTGCTCTACTTGCTGGGGAGAGCGTAGGTTCAGGCTTGTCGCAACCCCCACTCCTCTTTTTCCCCTGAGGCCCCGACCACTGCCCATCTCTTCCCACTAGGCCGGGGTGGGCAAACTTTTTGGCCTGAGGGCCACATCAGTGTTGCGCAACTGTATGGAGGGCCGGGTAGGGAAGACTGTGCCTCCCCAAACAGCCTGGCCCCCACCCCCTATCCGCTCCCTCCCACTTCCCACTCCCTGACTGCCCCTCTCAGAACTCCCAACCCATCCAACATCCCCCCGCTCCTTGTCCCCTGACCACCCCCTCCCGGGACCCCCACCCCTAACTGCCCCCTGGGATCCGACCCCCTATCCAACCCCTCCTTCTCCCTGTCCCCTGATTGCCCCAACCCCTATCCACACCCCCACCCTCTGACAGGCCCCCCCAGGACTCCCACGCCGATCCAACCACCCCCTGCTCCCTGTCCCCTGACTGCCCCCCGGGACCCCCGCCCCCTATCCAACCCCCCTGCTCCCTGTCCCCTGACTGCCCCAACCCCTATCCACACCCCTGCCCCCTGACCGCTCCCCTGGGACTCCCACCCACTATCCAACAGCCCTCTGCGCCTCGTCTCCTGACTGCCCCCTCCTGGGACCCCCTGCCCCAACTTCCCCCCGGGATCCCACCCCCTTATCCAACCCCCCCCACTCCCTGTCCACTGACTGCCCTCCCAACCCCTATCCACATCCCCACCCCATGACAGGCCCTCCGGGACTCCCACTCCCAACCCTCCCTGTTCCCCATCCCCTGACCACCCCCCCAGAACCTCTGCCCCATCCAACTGCCCCCTCCTCCCTGACTGCCCCCAGAACCCCCCGCTCCCTTACCCAACCCCACCCGCTCCCCACCCCCTTACCAGCAGCAGAAGCATGGGTGGGGTCTTGAGGGAAGAGAGGAGCAGAGGGTGGGGCCTCAAGGCAGAAGAACAGGGGAGGGGCGAGGTCTCGGAGGGAATGGGGCTTCTGCATGTGTCCTGCTTTTGCCTTTTGAAAAAAATGGTCACTCTACACTGAATGAGCAGGGCTGGGATAGTAGGTAGCTGTGCCTCTATTGGGGAGCTGAGGACCATTTCCACCCCTTTGCAAGCACCTGGGGCAGCACAAACGCAGGGGAAAAGGAGGGATTCTGGCCTTGAATCTCTTGCCAGGACTGCTGTGTGTCAGACCCTCACTCACGCGTGCAGCTCTGCTCTGCCTCAGGTGCATTAAAGTTGGATGGGGGTGGGCTTAGCACGTGTGCAGTGTGCAGAGCCATCAATGGGGGAGGGGGCTGCCTGAATGGCTTATCCTGGGGCTCCGGCGTTAATCATTTCTCTGACACGATTCAGTCAGAAGCACTTGGCTGAGGGCATAGGGGAAGGGTGGGTGTCCTTGCCCCTTGAATAGCCCCTGTCCACAGCTGGTACAACCCCCATGGATAACAAAGCAGAGGGCTCAGCAAGAGCCAGGACTGCAACTGCACAACACCTCTGAAGTTTTTTCCTTGCCCCATGGATGTTTAGCCAGAGACAGGACAGTGACTGACCAGGTGTAATGGGACTCAACACCCACATTCCTTCTCTTTATTGACTGTATCAACAGGACTTCTGAGGTTGGAGAAGCCACCAATACAACTTTTTATGGTCCAACATCCCACCAGTTCCCTGGCTCTCCACGAACACAGTCACTTTGTAAATGCGGCTGCCTGCCTTGGTCTCCTTCTCCGACTGCACTGTCCTCCCTCATCAGTGGGTGGGGACATCCCTCGCCCATTGCTCCAGGCCTTACACCCCATTGGAACCTCTCTCTACATCATGGAGATCTGTAGCTGATGTCGTTTGAGATGTAAAGGTCCAGAACAGACTATGTGGCCATAGCAGGTGTTGTTCATCTCCCAGGTCAGCAGCGATGGAGATGGGTGATAAACTGACCCTTCACTTGATGAATACCTTGATTATCCTTGCACGAAGGTGTTTGATTTTCACGCTGTAGACAATTGGGTTCAGCAGGGGCGGGACCAGCATGGAGATGTAGCCCAGAAGAATCTGAAGCAAGGGAGAAGAGCCCTTCCCAAATCTGTGTATAACAGACAGGCCGATCTGAGGTGTGTAGAAGAGCAGGACGGCGCAGAGGTGGGAGACGCAGGTGTTCAGGGCCCTGAGACACTGGGTGTGGGATACGATGCTCAGCACTGTTTTGAGGATAATCATGTAAGAGAGGAAGATGAGCAGTGAGTCCAACCCCATCGTTAAGAGTTTAGCAAACAAGCCATAGATGCTGTTCACTGAGATGTCTGAACAAGCCGCCTTCATGACGTCCTGGTGCAGGCAGTAGGAATGGGAGAGGACATTGGCTTGACAGTATTGGAACCGTTTCAGGAGTATGGGGAGTGGGAATACTACAGCCACCCCTCTTAGAACACACACCAGTCCCATCTTGGCTATTCTTGGCAGGGTTAAGATGGAAGCATATCTCAGTGGGTCACAGATTGCGACGAAGCGGTCAAAGGCCATCAGTAAGAGCACAGAGGATTCAGTGCATTCAAACAAGTGGATGAAGAACAGCTGGGCAAAACAGGCATTGAGGCTGATCTCCCTAGAGTTAAACAAGTAAATGCCCACTATGGTCGGTATGGTGGCTATCGATAAGCCAAGGTCTGTGACAGCCAACATGGAAAGGAAAATGTACATTGGCTCATGAAGGCTTAGATCTGTTTTTATAATGAACAGAATGACTGAATTTCCTAATATCGAAATAACATACATTAAGCAAAAGAGGATAGAGATCCAGAGATGTATGTCTTCCTGCCCAGGTATCCCACTGAGAAGGAACACTGCAGATTGGAATTTGGTGTCATTGACAGCTGACATAATGTACTGGGCAGGTCCAAGGAGTTTTGAACTTTCCTTCCTAAAAGTAAAAAGAACAGGTGACTAGATGATATTTAACAAGACATCTGTCTGCTCTCAGTGGATATTTAAAGACAGCAAAGAGCTCAAGAAAGATCAGCAAAAACACAGTCTTGAACTTACAGCACCAATAGGAATATAGGCATTGCCAGAGTGGATCAGACATGTAGTCCATCCAGCCCAGTATCCCATGGCCAGGTTCACACGCTTCAGAGGAAGGTGGAAGAAGCCCTGCAATAGGCAGCTATGAGATAACCTGCTCCTAGAGAAAGTTTCCCCCTGACACCCACTAGTTAAACATATTTTGTAGTGTAAATGAAGCAGGTTTAGATCCTATCCAAGACTTTTTTAAACATTCCTCACTACTGTAATTGGATTTTCTGGTTATCCATATAAATATCCAGTCCTGTTTTGAATCCTTCTAAGTTCTTGTCCCTATTGATATCTTGTGCTTGTGTTTGTGCTTGTGCATTCCTACTTGAGTACTGTGTGATTTTTACAATTGTGACCTTCCAAAAGATACCCTTTCTGGCCCTCTACTTCTGAGGGTGGCCCATTGTATCAGGACACGTGTGTAAACACATGTAATATGCATGGTGAAAACAGCTATTGTATTGATCTGTCCTGCATTGAAGATATTTATAAACATTTTTCATAGCCTCTCAAGTAATGGTCTCAAGTTGCAGCTGGATATTAGGAAAAACTTTTTCACTAGGAGGGTGGTGAAGCACTGGAATGGGTTACCTTGGGAGGTGGAATCTCCTTAGAGGTTTTTAAGGTCAGGCTTGACAAAGCCCTGGCTGGGATGATTTAGTTGCGGATTGGTCCTGCTTTGAGCAGGGGGTTGGACTAGATGACCTCCTGAGGTTCCTTCCAACCCTGATATTCTATGATAGCCTCATTTTAGATATAATATATTTATAATTTTTCCACTCCTGAGATTGCAAATTATGCCACTGCCTTTTTGTAGTACATGGGGTAAATTCTTGGGCCAGATTCTGAATTCAATAACAGTGATTTTAACTACGTCACTCCAGATTTAAACGTGTAAATTCGATCAGAACCGGTCTCTATTAACTATCCCTTACCAAATGCTCCTGGTGATACACTCTGACCCCCAAGAATCCATCCAGGAGAAGCTGAAGTGCTTTGCCTGGCTAATGTCGACTGAATCCAAAGAATTTGATCATCCTACCGGCTTCTCTACGTCCTCACAGCATCTGCATCCTCTGCCCATGTAAGGGTCGGTGGATATTTGGAAAGTTACAAGCCAATACAGTTACCTCAGTGGGTCGGGGGTGAGTCACAAATGGGTGAATAGTGCAAACAATAGGTTTTCACTAATATCCACTTCAGCATGCAAGTTACTTCAGCCATGTTCGTGTAAGAGTCAATGGGCATAAATTACATGCAACCACTATTACACTCCCCTTTCCTGGACCTCAGCTCTACTCTTTGCTGAAACACAGACCAGCAGCTCTCTTCTTTCGGGACTTTTTGGAAAGTCTTTCACAGATTGTCAAGGTTCCTTCCCTACTCTGAACTCTAGGGTACAGATGTGGGGACCTGCATGAAAACCTGTAAGCTTAACTACCAGCTTAGATCTGCTTTTGCTGCCACCACCCAAATGATTTATGAGTTATTTGGGAAACTCTGTCTACCTCCCACCCAGAATATCTCCCTCCCAAGTACTATAACCCCTTCCTGGGTAGCCTTGAGAGGCTTCTCCACCAATTTCCTGGTGAACACTGATCCAAACCCTTGGATCTTAAAACAAGGAGGAATTAATCATTCCCCACCTCCCCTTTCCCCCCACCAATTCCTGGTGAGTCCAGATCCAATCCCCTTGGATCTTAAAACAAGGAAAAATCAATCAGGTTCTTAAAAAGAAGGCTTTTAATTAAAGAAAGAAAGGTAAAAATCATCTCTGTAAAATCAGGATGGAAAATAACTTTACAGGGTAATCAGATTCAAAGAGCCCAGAGGAACCCCCTCTAGCCTTAAATTCAAAGTTACAGCAAACAGAGGTAAACCCTCTAGCAAAAGGAACATTTACAAGTTGAGAAAACAAAGGTAAACTAACACGCCTTGTCTGGCTGTACTTACAAGTCTGAAATATGAGAGACTTGTTCAGAAGATTTGGAGAGCCTGGATTGATGTCTGGTCCCTCGTAGTCCCAAGAGCGAACAACCCCCAAAATGAAGAGCACAAACAAAAGCCTTCCCCCCACCAAGATTTGAAAGTATCTTGTCCCCTTATTGGTCCTTTGGGTCAGGTGTCAGCCAGGTTACCTGAGCTTCTTAACCCTTTACAAGTAAAAGGATTTTGGTGTCTCTGGCCAGGAGGGATTTTATAGTATTGTACACAGGAGGGCTGTTACCCTTCCCTTTATAGTTATGACACAGATATTGCAGCGGGATTGTGTGCATGACCCTGAATAAAAGTGTCACAAACAGCTTCTGGTCAGTTGCCAGGAGACAGTATCATACAACTGTTCACTGAATGAAGAGTTAATAGCACAGACTCGTTGCAAACAGTATGTGGAGTACTTCTCTAGTACTTTCTAAAGCCAAAGCAATTAAGCATCAAAATTGCCACTGCTCCTTCCTGTAGAGATTCCAACAACGCTGCTGCTGGCTTTTGATTTACATGCATGTAATGCATGGTTTGTAATATTTGTTACTACAATGAAAAGTTTTGGCATAACATTTACACATCTGTACCTTAGTACACACATGTCAACCTATTATTTCCCCTCTGATCATCTTCAGAGATGATTTCTCAGGTTATAGTGGGACTTAAAATGTAGCGTCTGTCATCTGGATTTCTTAAAAACCTGACCAGATTGCAGCATCTCAGCCCTCATTCAGTCGCTTGTCAGCAAAGAAAAGGCTAGTAACTCCCCTGTCCCTGGGTTAATATCTGACTGCGTCTCCTCAGGTTCTGTTCTGTCAGTCTGTGGCCTGTATCTGGAGTGGTAACAGGCATTGGGGTCAGTATAGAAAATATCAATTCCCTGAGCTCTCACTCTCTGGTACATAGTGACCCCAGCAGCGGTTATTCAGCCAGGATGAGGTTTTACAAGAAGTGGATTTCAAAGTCAAATGCATGAGTATTCATGGAAATGGAACTTAATTTCCCACATGAAAGTAGTCTATTGCTCTCTCGCTCTCTCGCTCTTTGACTGTCTCTGTCCTGTATTCATAAAATACATAGCATCCGGGAACAGCATTGTGACAGACATGGAGCTGAGCTGCCGATCTTTGTGTCATCTGCAAATTTGCATCATGAATGTGTGTGTTAATCCCAATTCTTGGGATGCTTGTTGTAGAGCTATATTGGGTTAATATTGGGAGGTTTACGTTATGGCTATAGTCAGTTACACCATTATGGCTCTTCTTAGTTTAACAGCAGGCTGCTGGAAAAGAAGCAGAAAGGGAAGCAACAGGTCAAGAAAAGCCATCGCTCAGTCAGCACTTCAGAGAGGTTGAGAGACAACACCGGAGCTACTAGCTCGGAAGAGCTCCAGCCACGTTACACAGCTTGTTTTGCCAGGGCTGCGAGTCTGTCCAGAGCTGGGGCAGCTGTTACTGAGAAGCTCTTCGTATTGACGGGCACAGACACCGCTGAGGAAGTCTGAAGGCCCTCGGCCTGTCTGGGTCCCTGTCAGGGTGGGAGGACTTGGGGTCAGAGACGTGTATAGGCTGTTGTTTAAAAACCCTCTTATTCTCCCATGTTCCTTCTGTTCAGATTAAACAGTGTTTTGGTTCTAGAAGGCTGGCTGGTCACTCATCTCACCACTAGTCACAGACTTCCAAAGGGAAGAAGCACAGGAGCCGAACCCACTTGGCTCTACTTGGCAGGCACAGTGGACCCACAGTGTGCTGTAGCCCAGGGCCCAGTCTGAGGATGGGAGGATCGAGGGATTCCATCCCTTGAGCGGGTAGGCTACGAGGCCTGACAGGTGACACTCAGAGACCACAGAGGGCGTAGAGATGCCGGTACCCTTGTAACTCTGATGGGTATCTACAGCGTAGAAATGCTGGAGCCCTCATCCAGTCAGGAAACAGAAATATGCCCTATCGGACCTGTTACCACAGAGCAACACGGCTCTGCGTTCACAATCGAGTCAGAGAATAAAACCTTTGAAAATACATTTGCTGATTAAATTTCCATGAGAAAATAAACCTGAGACGGTTTTTGAGCTAATCACTGATATCCCGTGGGGTCTCTTCTCGCTCAGCCCCTGGCAGGATCAGGCCCAGAGCATACGGCACCTCTAGAAATGGGAGCCCTTGAGAAATCCTGATGCCAAGCATTGGGGTTTTAACATTCTGAGCTCACTGTGAACATCAGCTACCTAGCGCTGCCTGCCCTCCAGCCCCGTCACTAAGTCACCCTGACAGCCTAGCTGGGTCCTCTGCCGCTGCACAGAGCATCTGCAAATGGAAACAGCCTGCAGCCTTTCCCCTTCACTTTGCATTTTAAAGATAGTGAAACCTGCCAACGTACCCAATTCCTGCTAGAAGAGGAGCCGCTGACACCAGAGACCTTCACCTTAAAGGACAAGGAGTCATCGGCAATGTTCCACGGGCAGCAGGCAGTATCTGTTCAGATAGGGAAGGAACTGTCTTTATAAAGCTTGCTTGCATGTTTCCTTGGGGTCGACTAGGCCATCAGGGAACCTCAGCTTCTTGGCTTAGTGTGCACCAGCTTTAACCCCCGTCACAGCCAATGGCAAACTGCAGGAGGCCAAATCGCAGGGGATGCCTGGTGATGCTACCCTGGAATCTGGGCTTGTGATCACTGTTCATAGTGTTCTGATTAGTCACATGGCTACCTCGGGGGCTGCCGAGTGGTAACAATGAGGCTGTCACAGGTGTTATTTTGCTGCATTGCAAACCCAGGGTGCAGGCCAGAGAAGGTACATTTCACCAGGCCCTGGACAGGGAACTTTCCCTCAGATCATTCTAGTAGGGGAAAAACTTCCTAACTGTCAGGGTGGTTTAGCACTAGAATAAATTGCCTAGGTAGGTTGTAGTATCACCATCATTGGAGAATCTTAAGAACAGGTTAGACAAACACCTGTCAGGGACGGTCTAGATAATACTTAGTCCTGCCATGAGCACAGGGGCTGCACTAAATGATCTCTTATGGTCTCTTCCAGTCCTACAATTTGCCAAGAGGATCCCCAAAGACATGCCCAGATCTCAGTGATCCCCTGGTAGCTAGACCCACCCACCCACAATCTCTGGGCCTCCACAACTGCTCTAGGACCCTCTTCAGCTCCCTGCCAGCACAGGTTCATCAGAGATGTGCTACCAGGACCTGTCACAGTAGCCACTGCCCACAGGAGTTGCTGAAGGGGTGTTGTACAGGGTGGAGGGGGCTGCACAGAGATGGGAAGGCTGGTTAGCGTAGCTGATGGACAATACCCCAGCCCTAGACTGGCCAGGAGGTTTAAACCTTTCCATACCCAGAGTGCAGCCATAGACTCCATCAGTGCAAACTTCATTTATGTTATGAGGAAGAGGTAGATGAAAAGCTTCTAATTTTTCTTGGCAATCCAGACAGCTGCAGCTGGGCAGCATCATGGCAGCTGAGCTTTCAGAGAAAAATGATACATTTTCTGTGAAAAATTACCCCAAAATATGGATAAAAAGGAAACATTTTAATTTGAGTCAAAATTTTCTTGGGGGAAAAATAGTCTTTTTTCCAGCTCAGCTCTAACTCAAACTCAAAATTTACTCCTGGGGGAATTCTGCAACAAAAAATTAAAAATTCTGCTCAAAATATTTTCAAATTGTGTAAAATTCTACATATTTTATCTGTTTTTAATTAACGGAGATATCCTATTTCCTAGAACTGGAAGGGACCTTGAAAGGGCATCAAGTCCAGCCTCCTGCCTTCACTAGCAGAACCAAGTACTAATTTTGCCCCAGATGTCTAAGTGGCCCCCTCAAGGATTGAACTCACAACCCTGTGTTTAGGAAGCTAATGCTCAAACCACTGCACTATCCCTCTTCCTGAAATAACAGAATGTAATCACTCCAATTTCAATTATTTTTGGTCATTTATTTCAAAATACCTGTCATTCAGTATGCCTGTAACAATGCAGACAACAAAAAAGATTCAGAAAATGTTTTTTTACAAAATGATTCCTTATGAGACATATTAATACAGAA